GTTAATTTTTTCAATGCTTTTGCGCAATAGAAGTAAATCCTGCAGAACTTTAATTGCACGTTCAGCACAAATGTTTGACCTTTGAGTTGAGATTGGAGTCGGCTCAACCGACCAAAAAGTCCTTAAAGTCTTTATTGTCTTTGAGTGATCTTTGCAAACGGCTGCCAAATTTGTGTAGTTATCCTGATTATAAACCTGACCAGAAAACCAGATGTCACTCCACGTGCCAAATCCAATGGCAAGTGTCAACTTTAAAAAAATGTCACCCCCTTAATTAAATTTATATATACATTGTACAAAATAGTTTTTTTAATCAGAAATACAAACATACAGGTTTTAGTGTTCATTTGTCAAAAGAAATTTAATGTTAATTTTTTCAATGCTTTTGCGCAATAGAAGTAAATCCTGCAGAACTTTAATTGCACGTTCAGCACAAATGTTTGACCTTTGAGTTGAGATTGGAGTCGGCTCAACCGACCAAAAAGTCCTTAAAGTCTTTATTGTCTTTGAGTGATCTTTGCAAACGGCTGCCAAATTTGTGTAGTTATCCTGATTATAAACCTGACCAGAAAACCAGATGTCACTCCACGTGCCAGTAATAAAGTCACATGATGACTGACCTTTGGCTGACTGTCGAAATTCTGGAAGTAAAATATAAGTTAGCAAAGCATAGATTGCTCGGCTATTCTATCTTGCATTGCTTATATTTGGCAAAGTTCGGAAATTTACTTTAGGGAAGCATCCTGTTTTCTTAAACTGTCTGTAACAAGTGATGAAGGAAAGCCATATCATCTCTTTAAACAATTTCTTCTTCTTCCTTCAGAGCATCTGAATCTTGAGAACCACTGTCAGAATCTTGTTTTTCTTCTTCATTGTTAAAATGTTCTTCATCTTTACTGCTTAAATCATCCTTAGTATCTTGACTGACTTTGCTGTTCTTCATCTTCACTGTTTAAATCATCCTTAGTATCTTGACTGACTTTATGCTTAATCAACTTTAGTTTTCTAGGATGAACTCCTTGTGTATCTTCAATTGTGGTGCAGTAGCCAGCTCTACCATTTGTGACATCTGAAG